TTTTCCAAACTAAAAGCCAACATCAAAAGGCTGCTGGTGACTCTCTGTAGGGAACGAAGAGATCCTTTATTTAAAAATCTATACAGTTTCTAATTCTTACCAGCTGAGTAAATAAATAGTCGATGTTTGAGTAAGTAAATAATCAAATAATCAATTATATCTACAAATAATAAGAAGACAGAGTCCTTGAGCGCTTTGCTATTTAATATCCTGGTGCTGATGCGGGTCTCCGGAGTTACACAGCTCGGAGTGCAAGTGCAGAGAGCGGAGACTTGGGAAATACACATCCCTCTGGGTGAGTCCTGCTTTTGTCACTTACCAGCGGTGTGCCCTGAAGCCAGTCAGTTAACCATATTTTCTTAAGCTGTAAAAATAAAACGTAAAGATAAAGATAAGACCTAAGTCATGAGGATGAGCTGGGACGATGTATGTGGAGAAGCCCATCCTGCAGCCTGGCGCTCAGTAAGGGCTTCTCTGTGAGCAAGCCTCGCCGCCCCTCTTCCCATCCCGCCGGGTTTTGCCCTTCATGTTACTGAGTCTAGAGATTCAACAGGCCAAGAGCGTGAGGTTATTGTAGGAGACCAAGACAGTTTTTACAGGACTGGATTTAGAAATCCATTGCTACTGGGAGCATTTTTAATTTTATGAAGTAGCCTTTCTATTAGAAACTAGAAACTCGTATTTGTATATTCAGACACTCGAGGGCTCAAGTGAATCTGGGGAGTCTGTCCGTGCACCGCAGAGGCGGGCCTGTCTGACTGTCCCTGCGGACCGCTGCCCCCGTGGGTGTGCTGTGAGCATCCCATCTGAAGTTTCAGGGCTGCAAATAACTCCCTCCCCTAACACTCCTCTGGTCTCCCCTGGTATTGTCGAAAAGAATGAAACTCTTACAGTCAGGTACACATGTGTACATCCCACGGAAAGATAATACACACAACTATTTGACGAGTCATCAAAATTATTGTGAAGTACAGCTTTTTCACTTATATATTTTTTTCCTAACGTTTGACTTCATTCCTCTCATTAAAAAATGCCAGATGTTACACAAACTTTACTATTAATCCAGCTTTGGCAGAGATGAGGTGATTTAATGGGTTCGAGCATTTAGCTTTTTAACCTCAGAGAGCAGTATTTCTTCTCTGTAATTACATAATCTGCCCCTACCCATTACCAGGGCACTAAATTTCAAATTCTCCGTACACCTGAGTGGCTGCGACATATCTGGCCATCTTAATTTTAGTCTTGATTTATTGATGCTGAATTGCCTCCCAACTCTTCCTGGAGCTCTGGGTGAATTTTATTGCAAAAGCAATGGGGAGAAAGTCACCGCTGTATATCTTTCTTGCTGGGCAGAGCTTTTAGATACACAGGGGGCTTTATATCCCACTGCTCCATGTCTTCTATGCTGGATTTATAGCACTGAAGCCCAGCTGTAGGGTTACATACAGACATATCAAAAATAAGATGGTGAATTGTGTTCTGCAGTAATGATTACTTGTTGCTGGAGCCCACATCCCTGCAGGCTCTGCCTTTATGCCCCACACCGCTGGCGAGTAAAACTAATTCCAGCTGCTACCTAATTTAGCAAAACTCATCTTTCTCTTACGAGAGAGGCCAAAAGAGGGCAGACAGGAAGTAGGGGAATCTGAGATGCTGGCCGTTTTGCCTATTAAGTCTCAAGGGTTTCTCCTTCCACTATCAGGACTCCTTTAGGAGTATTTTAATCCTTTAAACTTCTATTCCTTTGTGGAGGGAATGAAGGCTTCGAGCTCTGCCAGCCTGGCGAGTTAAGTGACGCTTATCCATGCTGTCTCTTCCCCTCCAGAGAGGCTGGGTCCCTAGGGCTAGCCCGCTGCATCGGGGACCCTGCAGGCTTGACTTCCCATTTCTGCTGAGGGTCATCTGTCCTCGCAGTCTTGCAGGGGATAACTTTTGCCACACACATCCCTACCCCCGCACATCATCTGCTTGAGAAATTTGTGCCTGGCAGGCCTGTCTGTCCAAGTTAAGCTTGAAACACAGTAGCCACACAACTAATTTGACAAGGCATCACTCTAAACAGCAAGGCTGCAGGCCTGCTTTGAACAAGACCACAAACTTCCCGCCATCTGGTTACAAATTCCCAAGTTCCTTTGGAGAAGTCCACGGATTAGTCTGTTCATGCAACTCGGCTTGTCCTTCCTCCACTGCCCCATTTTTTCCAACCTTCTGCAACACACACACGCACGCACACCCTTGTCTTACAGGCTCTTAGAGATGTTTAACCCTCTGATTAGCCTCACCAGCTTTTCAGTGCCTGACTGTTCAGCATTTGACTTCAGCCTTGTCACTTGCATAAAAGAACTCTAGAACTGAATGAAGGTCATCATCAGAAGTTTGGGGATGGGTAACAGATGTTGCCGAAAAGTAGTGGTTGTCAGACTTCAGCCTGCGTGGTCACCACCTGGGGCTTCTCCAAACACAGACTGCTGGGTCCCCACCTGAGGTTCTGATCCATGAGGTCTGCTGTGGTGACCACAACATGAAAACCACTCTATGACACCTGTCCAAAGCTTCGGTGACTAAGCCAAAGAGCAGCTGTATTCATCCAAAACCTTTTGGTCTTTTGGCATAGCTGAGTCCAACTTTCTGGAGGTGGGACCAGTGTGATATCATAGCATCCTGTGTTCTGACTGGATGGCTCTGTCACAGGAGCACAGTTTCTCCCCATAGCAGCCCACTATGGTAAAGCACTGCGTGTTCTCCAAGTGCTGGAGTACACCAGCAGCAGCTGTAGGGGTAACAAGCAGGATTCCGTCCAGGAAGGTTCAGTCCAGGACAATAAAGTTGCTGCCGAGAAGACAGCTGATGCCAATACCCAGGGTGTCATTTCACACCACGCAGCCTCTGGGCCTCGGGTGCCATATGCACTTCCAAAACTTCATGAGATTAACACACAGTAATATCTAGTATCTTAACCACAAAAGACCACCTAATCTTTTCTCCTCCTTTATTTTCATCAGTTTCTTCCATTTTTAATTTTTTTAACCTGCTTTAAAAATAGGTTAGGATGGTGGAGCTCAGTGGTAGAGTGCATGCTTAGCATGCATGAGGTCCTGAGTTCAATACCCAGTACTTCCACTAAAAAAAAAAACAAAAAACTAATTACCCCCCGAAAAAAAGAAATAAAAATTTAAAAATAGGTTAAACAAAAAAGTATAAATAGAAAATATTCCAGAAGAAATCCCATAAAGTAGATTTGATAAAAAGAATAAATTTAGCCCCCCCCCCCCAGTATGCTTACCCTCGATGGGTTTATACTAGGGAATGGACTTCAATGTTATCCTCAAGATGCATGTAATTAAACACACGTTTTATTTTTATTTTCTAATTTTATAAGGTTCAACAAGGAGTTAGCAAATAATGTGCCCTGAAGTCAGAAATTTATTTCTACTGAGTTAGCATTATTTTCATGTTTTGGACGTCTTGACTCTCAAAAAGCATAATTGGAAAAAATCCTTTTACAATTCCATGGTTTAGAAGTGTTTGATACTGAGTCTCTGAAAAATGATCTAACAGAGGGTGTACTGTGAAGTTGAGAACAGCTATTCTTAAAACATAGAAGTACTCAGTGTGAGTCCATTTATGTAATGTTTTAGAAATGTCAAAATTTTAGAAATGGAGGATTCATCATAGGTTGTCAGAAGTTAGGGTGGGTTCAAGGAGGAAGGTAGATTACAAAAGTTTACAAAAAGGGGCTATGGGGATCTTTATGGCTTTGGAGATGGTCAATATCTTGACAGAATAATGAAGGGCTTTAAAAATAATTACATTTTCTAGAAGTAGAAAATGCTTCTACTTCTACTTCTACTTGATGCTAAAGTGAGGAACGAGAAAATAAGGCTTGAAAGGTTAGAAGCCAGACCCAACAACTTGCAATTAACCAAGCTCACATTCTATTTACTAATTCATCTATTTTATGCCTCTTTATTATTTCCTCTGCTAGAAAACCTCAAGTTCCATCCTCACGACACCCCACTTGGCTAACATTTCTTCATGTCAGACTGAGGACAAAGTATACTTCCTCTGAGAAGACTTTCTTGGCCACCTCACACCCCCAGATGCCCCACATGTGTGCTGCATCTTTCTACAACCTATCATTTAGAGGCCCCAGGTTGTAAATGTTGGTGACTGTGAGATCCTTGAGGGTAAGGACTGTGCAGGAAGAGAGGAGGGAGAATGGGAGAGACTAACACACGATTCTTAGAAAGAACCCCTGGATGAACACGGGAGATGAAGGAGCCACTGCCAAGTTGCACCGCCTGTCCTTTGAACAGGCACGAAGACTTGCGATTACAAGATGAACTTTATGGAGTTTACCAAACAGCAGCACTAGATACATGGCAGCACCGTAGTTGTCTCTTCATGACTACAGATCAAAGCAGCCTAGCCAAACGGCCCCTTCCATAATTACGTGCATTTTATCTTAGCCCATGTAACAACTGGCTGGGATTTCTTAAATACAAATGCCAGGAACAGATAAGTTTCCTCTTCACAGGGGCATAAGTGAGTCTGAGAAGTGATCCGGGCAAATGACTTAATCTCTGTTTCTTCCTTTGTTAGAAAGAAACGACAAAATCGTTCCCCGGAGTGGCTATGATGACTGAATGTGACAATGCAAGCCCGTCCACATCCTCTATAAAATATTGGTGGCAGGTAATAATATAGATAACAGGTTTACACCACTATTATTAATATTATTCTGCGACTGGATCCCCTCTTCGCCAAACTCTATAAAGCACCATAAACTCCAGCAGGGTTAGGGAGGAATAAGTTTAGCTCTAACTTTCTATTCCGGCGGACCTGCCCTAATTCAGCATGGCGGAATCGGCTTCCGCACGTTCACGGCGCTGGCCACACCACAGGGGCTTTACAGGAACCGCCCACTGCGCAGACTCAGTTTCCCCGACGCTCTTTGATGACGTTGACCCCCCCACTCCCCCAACCTCGCCTGGAAAGCTGGCCGCGCAGGTTTGCGCAGGCGCAGCGCGGCCGCGGGTGGGCGGAGTCGGTCAGGATGAGTGGCGGAGGGACGGAGACCCCCGTGGGTTGTGAAGCCGCCCCGGGCGGCGGCGGCAAGAAGAGGGACTCGCTGGGGACCACAGGCTCGCCAGCGCACCTCATTATCAAGGGTACGGACCGCCCTGGTGGACCCCAGCCCAGCGCCACCTCCCAGGCGGCGCCCTCTGACCCGGGGCTGAGCCCTAGGTGGACCCCCAGGTCTCGCGCAGCCTCGCGTTTGTGGCGGGGAGTTGGCGGGGATGGGGGGGTCCTTGCCGGGCCCGCCAGCTTCCCCGCGCCAGGTGCCTCCCAGGAGCGGCAAAGCGCCCCAGCCCCTCCTACTTCCCCGGAGAAGCCGCGGTCGGGAGCGTGGGGGCCGCCCCTCTCGCCTCCCCCAGCCCGGGCCCCGCGCGGAGCCGCGTGGACTGGGGTTCACGACCCCCGAGTGAGGCGGTGAGCTCGGGAGTCAGCAAGGGCCCGCGGCCTCGGGCAGCTCGCTTCAGAGCCGTGTAACGGGGTCGTTCGCTCTGCCCACGCGCTGACCCCCTCTGCCCCTGGGTCGTGCCAGGAGTAAGCGAGAGGGCGTAAGAAAGCATCTTAAAACGCCTAAGCACCGGACACTGCGTGACCATTTGTCCTGTCGGTTCGGGGGCTAGGGGAGGGTTACAGCCTAGTTACATCCTGGATTCCCACAGAACCCGAATTCGTTTGATTCCCCAAGCTCTCAACCCCGTTTCCTGCAGGAAAGTCTTTGCCAGTTAGGTTCTGTGCTTTCTCATCTCCATCCTCGTTTAACCCCGCAGCCCCACCGCCTTGCAGTGTTGAAGCCTTTGTAGGATTCCCGTCCTTCAGCGCTGCCGGGGGAGTGGCATCCTCATGTTGCTGTCTGTTTCTTTTTAACCGTATCTGTCAGGTTTGTGGAGACTTAAGGTTGTCTCTTAAGTCTAATACTGAGTTCGAGGGTGGTGCGTGGGTGTTAGGGCTAATTTATAATTGTTTATCTGTGCAAACAGTGAGCTGTTAACTGTAGAATTTTTTAAATTGTGGTAAAATACACATAATATGAAGTTTATCTTGTTTAAGAGTACAGTTCAGGGGCGTTAGTCCATTCACATTATTGTGAAGCCACTTACCACCGTCCTTCTGCATAACCTTTTTATCTTCCCAAACTGAAGCCCTGTACCTATTAAACACTAACTCCCCACTTGCCTCCCCCAGCCACCATTCTGCTTGCTGTTTCTAAATGTAATGACTCTAAGTACTTTATATAAAGTGAAATCAGGCCTGTCCTTTTGTGATTGGCTTATTTCACGGAGCATCAATGCTGTAGCACATGTCAGAATTTCCTTCCTTTTTAAAGCTGAATACTAGTCAAGTATTTCATTTTGTGTATGTGTGTGTGTTTGTGTGTAGAGGTCAGAGGCTGAGCATTTTTTTATGTGCTTATTGGCCGTTTGTATGTCTTATTTGGTGAAATATCTATTCAAGTCATTTGCCCATTTTTTAATCAGGTGGGGGTTTTTGTTGTTGTTATTGTTGAGTTCTTTCTATGGCCTGGATATTAACCCCTTTTCAGACATGATTTGCATATATTTTCTCCCATTCCGTGGGTTGCCTTTTCCCTCTATTGATTGTGTCCTTTGATACACAGAAGTTTGTGATTTTGATGTAGTATTTTTTAAAGTTGAAGTATGGTTGATTTACAGTATTAGTTTCAGATGTAGTACTTTTTTTAAAAGGAGATAATTCAAAGGAAGTTTTTCAAGTTAATCCAAAATTGAGCTATAATTGACAGTATGTTTAGAACCTCCTTGCCTTTTTTGGTGGAACCATTTACTCTTTTCATTCTGAAAAATCTGTTTTTAGTTTATCTTACTTGAAGACCATCAGCGGTGAAAAGGTATTTGTTGAGTTTTAATGCCAGGGTCTAGTGAAGGGAAATAAATAAGATGATTTCATTATTTATGCCCCTGAAGCTCTGAGGGTTTCTGGCCTGTGGGTGGGTGTTAGGAGACAAGGGGGAGGGGTCCCTGGGAGATGCAATGTCCGATCTGAGCCTTGAAGAATAAAGTGTTAGCAGTTGAGAAAAGAGGGCAAAGGTAGTTTGGGACCTAGTTGGGAACAGCGTAAGCAAAGGAACGGAGGCCTGAAGCAGCGTGGCATATTTGGGAACCACACATTTCTAAAGATGGCGTCTGCTGGAAATCAGTCCAAAGAAGACTTCTTGCCTTTTAAAGGAGATTGGACTTTTTCTTGACTGTTCCATATTGTTGTGGAACAGTAGTGAGCGCGAGAGTCATGTGGTTAGATCTGTGTTTTAAGTAGAGCCCTCAGCAGACATGGAGCAGCCTTGTCATGCAGAATGTGCGTTTGTGAATTTACCTACTTGATAAAATGAATTTGTTAAGTGCAAAATCTGCGGGTACAAAGGGGCCTCCTCTCCTGCGAAGAATGAGCATTAACAGTATATGGAGTGGGTGGTAGAGAGATGTGACCTAGTGTTGAAATTGTCCAAGATAAGCAAGGGTGCTTAGCATGCGCTCTAACACTGAGCCGTACCCTCCCCACTCTCATGCATTTCTTTATAGTTCTATTGCTTCTGTATGTTTCCCAAAAGGAAGTGTCAGTTTGCATATTTTTAAAGTTTATATAAATGGCTTTTATCCTTCTGAAACTTTTTTTTTGCCTCAACATTATATTTGTGGGATTTATCCATGTTAATAAATGTAACTACAGTGTGTTCATTTTCATCTTACTTTGTAATATCCATAATTTCACTGGTTTATAATATCCGTCCTATGGGTATATGTTTAGGTTATTTCCTTTTTTTCCTTTTGACGTTACACTCATGCTGTAGTAAGCGGTATAAACATCTCTTTTATTTTTGTAGGAGTTTTTCCACGGCACATACTTAGGTATGACGTTGCTAGGTATACATGTCCTCAACTTTATTAGGTGTTAGCTAACTGTTCTCAGAACTAGTTGTACCAGTTTATTGGCAGTGAATGAGATTTCTTCTTTTTAAAAAAATTTCGTGTGTGTGTGTGTATATATATATACATGTATTTTTTTTAAGTATAGTAATTTTACAATGTTGTGTCAGTGAGATTTCCTCTTAATCCACAGCCTGGATTAGATTTTAACCTCCATACATTTATGGGGAAGGAGAAGAGTAAAACAAGCTAGAGAGGATGCCACTTAGCATGGACTGACCGAGAATTTCATTTTGTCTTTACAGATCTTGGAGAAATCCATTCAAGGCTTTTAGATCACAGGCCCGTCATCCAAGGTGAAACCCGTTATTTTGTGAAAGAATTTGAAGTGAGTATTCAAAACTTACTTTGTAAAAATCCTATCCTAATTGTTAGTGCTTTAATATATGGAAGGGAAGTTCTCCAGTTTTAAAATCTCTGGTTTCTGTTCACATGTCCATAAGATACACAAAGTAAAACTTACCGAGAAGCGTTGACATTGCCGGAGGGAGCGGACGGCAGGAGCCTCAGGCTGCGGTTCTGGTGCCTCTGGGCTATTTAAAGTCTGTTGATCTGAGTTGTTTCATCTGTAAAATGAGATTTAGTGAAAAAAAGATTTTAGAGACAGATGGGTCACTTTTCCCGACCGATTTTCTGTATTTTTCCCTCAGCTGGGGCGTCAGCATTTACCCGAAGCACTTGAGTTAAAACCTGAGAATCATCCTGGGCTCTTCCCTCCGTGTAGGTCACGTCCAGCGACCAGGTCTTCTAGACGCCACGGCATAAATCTCTGTCCTTTCTGACTGGTGCGCCTGCTCTGTCAGCCCGGTCAAGTCCGGTCCTCACCCGGCTGCCAGAGCGCTCCGTTGTTATGAAAACCCTGTGATACCCTTTTCTGTCTAGAGGACAAAGTCCGAGCGTCCTTCTGTGACCTGGCCCCTGTCTTTCTAGCTTTACCATCTGCGCCCTGCCTTGTATGCTGTGTCCCAACAGTGCTGTCTCACCAGCCCGCCGTCCTGTTTCCTGTGCCGTTGGTTTTGCCTCTGCACGGTGGGTTCAATGTGCCCTGAAGAGTAACACCCCAGGCTGCTGTTGGGTAGATGGTAAATGGTGTTAAAACAATTTTGTGATTCTGTGTAGGTTGGGGTTTTATTTTCAAATGAGATTCCAACCAAGCAGGAAGTCTAACCCTGCCAAAAGGAGGGAACCTTTCCGTAAACCCTTCGAAAGTACGGGAAGCCTGCGGTACAGAGCCCTCAAGGTGGAGCTGCGGCGTTAGACTCCATTTCTAGGTTCCACAGACTGGAAATCTGCATAATCCCTGCTTCCCAGGGTTAATGTGAAGGTTAAAGGTGTGTGTAACTTAGAACATTGCCCAACACCCGGGAATAACTGCTGGTTACGTTTGGCATCATTATTGTCGTCGTGGTTAGGATAAGAATGATTACCACCCACACAGAATATTAACCAGAGACTATTCCCTTATCATAGTATACAAAAATTATTAACAGTTCCTTAGTGAGAATAGAGTCTGGGCACAGCATGGTAGATACTCTGCTCAGGGTCTTACAAGGTTAAAATCAAGGAACTGGCCAGGTTCTGTTCTTATGTGGCGCTCAGAGCCCTTTTTCTGCTGCACAGGGTGGTAGCAGCAGTCAGCTCCCTGCCGAGGTAGACGGAGTTCCCGTTTCCTCGCCATCAGCCGGGGGGCGCTCCCAGCTTCTAAGGCTGCCCACATCCCTTGCCACATGGCCCCTTCTGTCTTCAAAGACGTAAATGGGGTCTCCCTCTCATGTTTCCAATATCTCTTGCCCAGAAAAGCCCAGTCCCTGTTAAAGACTCACCTGATTAAGTCAGGCCCACCAGGGATAATCTCCCTTTCTTAAAATCAGCTGATTTGAAACTACACCTGCAGAATATTTTCAAAGCAACACCGACATTAGAGTTTGATGGTGTAACTGAAAGGTGTGTGTACACTAGGGGAGGGCATCTCGGGGCCCATCTTAGAATTCTGTCTACCATAAGCTCTAAAAACTGTATTTCCTTACTATTTGCTCGTTTATTAGAATGTAGACTCGAATCTTTTTTATTCTCTTGTGTTCAAATACCTGAAAGGATGTCTAGTGCACTGTAGATATTTAATATGATTCAAAAGAACAGTTATCAGAGCTTTGACTAAAACGGCTTTTCCAGTATCCAGTGGTCTTTTCTCATAAGTTATCTTTGTCTTTTTGCTGGTTTGGTTCATTTGAAATACTAAATAGTTTTTATTTTAAAAAATTGTAAATGTAAAGGTCTACTTTATATTAAAAGTATAGAATCCTGGAATTAAGACGGCTTCTCTAATCCAACCCCCTGGCTTCATGGAAGCCGTGCCCAGAGGTGGAAAGCAACGTGTGGAGTGTCACACAGCCAGTTAGCGGCTGAGCGTTCAGTGCATAATACGGGCCATTTCTGTGAAAGGGCTGTGCAGGGGGGACTGGGTTTGAGTGGATGATGAGGGACGTGCTACATTTATGCTGCAGGATGTTGTGTTAAGAGCTCACCCCCTTTTGAAGCCAACACCTCGTTTAACTGGGATAGAAGACAGTTGCCAAGAGAAGACGGGCACGTGCCTGAGAGGAGAGGAGTGGCCTGCACCCCGCGTGGCTCAGCCCTCTAGGGTCTGTGCAGAGGGGGCGGGGCCGAGCAGCGGAAGGAGCACCGGCCTGGAGTCTGGTGCGGTGGGCGTGCCTGGGCTGCAGTCCTGGCGCCCCTCTTCCTAGCTGTGGTTACTTGCCTTCCTAAGGCTTAGTTTCCTCTTCTTAAAAATGGAAGCAGTAATATATACTGCAGAGTTTTTATGAGGATTAAACGATGTGTCAATTTAAAAATCCCTAGTATGTCGACGTTAGACAGATGTTGTTAACGGTCATTATTAAGAGAAAGATGGGAGCAAGAAAGATCCAGTTGAGTGCCTTAATTCAGAATTTGCAGTGATTCAAATGAGTTTGGGTTCAATTTTTAATATCTTTAGGGAAAGTAGGGATTTGCTAAGCAAATGGCATAAACATCATCTTAGGAAAATGTTTACTCAGGAATACAATTTTCGCACTGGCTATGATAATTGTCAGCTTGTTAAATAAAGTCAAGCAGCATGTCTCGAGCACTTATTTTGTGTGAGACATGGTGTCAGGGGCCAGTGCTACGTCCGTGAGCAAGTCAGCCGTGGGCCCACCTTCGTGAAGCGAGACGGGCTCGTGTCATCAGTGAAGAACGGCCTCTGAAGGGCTCAGAAGCTCTTGTCGGCTGAGTTTGTTGTCTCCGGCCACCTGTGACCTGACTTCTCTTCTTGAAACGTTCTCGATGTGGCCCTTTCACACGGTGGTGGCCTAGGCTGTCTGAGGGTTGATTGGCGCCCGGACGCTTCTCTGTTCGTCAGACTCGACTCCCTTTTCTGTCTCTTACACCCTGGCATTTCCCCTCAGAGGATGAGAGAAAGCGGAAGGCGTTTAGAGGTTTAGATCTGAAGAGGTGGTGCATTACTTACAGTTCTTTTCTCTCTTGGCCCAAATGACAACCTCCTCTCCCGAAGAGAAGCGTCTCCGCCAGAGGCACGGGGCTGGGCAGGCGGGCGGTGGCCGCCACGGCCTCCTGGGAGTTGAGTTTTCGTCTCCTCCGTCCCGTCTTTAAACTGGCCAACGTTTAAAAATAAAGTTGTTTATAGTTGATATAGTTCAAAAAGGTAACGCACATGGCCACGCTTATCTTTTTCTTTACGAAATTTTATTTCTAAAAGAATGGAAAAAGGGCCACATGGTGGCAGCGTTCCTTAAACTATCCAAGTTCTAGTGATGATGTTTTCGGCTCTCTTTGTGTTGGTCACTGTTTCAGCACCGTTGACTGTCTTGCTCCCGACTTTACGCAGCTCTTTTATTCCCTTAAGTCCAGTAAATACTATGAGCAGAGGCCCCGGTGGGGCCCCGGTGGGGCCCTTGCAGTGAGCATCAGTCTGGTTGTGTCAGCGGGTAAAGTCACCGCACTGTTATCTTTCCTGCCACAGAAATGCCAGGGCCCCTTGTGTGGGACAAGGGAGACCTGGTTCATCAGCGTTTATGAGGTGCTCTGGGCTGTTCAGTGCAGGCCCAGCTCCTTACTTCATCTCTAGCAAAGTCCATTCTTTGACTGCTTCATTGACTAGTTACTGAATACCCAGGTATATCATAAAGAAGGTGTTCAGTTACCAGACATGCAGAATAAAGAAGAAACCGCCTCTGCCTCCAGGAGGCTTGCAGTCTGGGGAGAAGACACACCAAGAATCGTAACGGTGGAGTTACGGCGACGACGTGGCACGAGGTGATGGAGATCTCAGCGGAGCGAACAGGCCCAGAAACAAGTGCCCCCGAGCTGGGAGGAAAAGCTTCACCGAAGAGCTGATGTTAGAGCTGAGGACGAGAACCAGATGTTAGAGAAATGGGGAAAGATGGAGGAAATACTGATTAAAATTGAGGCAAAAAAGAAGATTGTCCAAATAAGTACAGTAATTACAGGAGCCGTGAGGGTTCATGTTGATGCATTTGAATGTGGGTTGAATTGATAAAGGGAAAAATGCTTTAAAAGGAAGGACAAAGTAGAATTTTACTTGACATCTGATCTCTCATTTTTAGTTAGATTGTAAGAGTAACTGTCAGATTATTAAATACCAAGAAAAGTCTATCCCATACGGTATGTAATAAATTTATGTATGTATAATATGGTTTTAAAACTTGTGAGACTGACCAGTTTTGTGATTGAAAATTTTAAATATTACATTGGTCTCTCATTTCCTCTCTAATACAATCAAATTCCATCTTTAATGTAAATAGGACAATAGCTGTACTAATGTTATTAACAATTGCTGACGTTTTTAATTGCTTGTTGCCAGGCATTGTCTTAAGCACGTTACATGAGTGCTAGTTACTCATTTCAACTTAAGAAAAATTAGCTGTTTATGTACTTCTGTGGAGTGTTATCCATCAGACACCAGGCTTCATTAGTGCTACGCCTTGCTCTGGGAATTTTCACCCCAGAAATAATATTCATATAGCAAATAGACAGATATTAGTTTATAATCTTCCTTTTGTAATGGGTGTCAACAGTACGCCTTACTTAGTCAAAAATATGAGCATAAAAACAAGCACATACCAGATGGGCCTGTTCGTTGTTGTTTAAATTAATTATTATCATTAATGGGCTGTTAGAGGTGAGGGTAGAGATTCCCTTACTACAGCGTGCAATTTAAGGCTAAGCGATGGTTCTGAGGGAGACAGCCCCCCGGTCTCTGTGAACACAAGCCAGGGCTCTGTGTCCTGCCAGCGTGGACACAGTCCATGAGAAAATGGTTGGGGAGAAGAGGGTTATGAGAAGCAGAATATGCTCCCTTGCTGCCTTACGACTATTAACTGGGAGGGAAAGGATGCTCTTCCAAATCAGTCCCTGAGGGAGAGGGCGTAGAGAGAAGAGCCATCATGTAGGATTAATCTCATGCGTAGTGGGGAACCCATAGGCAGCAGCCGGGAAGGTGGAGACCAGGAGTATTAGATGAGGTACTAGTATAAACATAACCATGAGGGCAAAAACGCCAACTTTTTTAAATACTGAAAGAGATACCCAACAGAGAGCACAAATGGGCCACGTGACCACAGAGAGAAAGATGACTCATTGTGTGTTTGTGAGCTTGGCTCAGAGTGAAATAAGAAGCGTCTGTTTATCATTTCTGTTTAGGAAGGAGGACATTGAAATATGTGTACACTTACACCTACATATGTATATGTACACACACGTTTTTATATGCGTGTGTATACATACACTTACATGTGTACGCATGTAAATGTATATCCCTAGCAGTCAGGCAATGGCAGGATAACTTTTTAAATAATGACTTAGAGGGAATAGGATACACAGGACAGTGGCAGACGCTATTCTTTTGAACATATGTTTTTGTTTTTATTTTTATTTTCTGTGACTTTTTAAATTGAAGTACAGTCAGTTACAATGTATCAGTTTCTGGTGTACAGCACAGTGTCCCAGTCATGCATATACATGCATGTGAACATGTATTTTTATAGATGTAGTTTTGGAGCCATGCAAATATTTTACATAATTTAAGAGAAAATTAAATTTTAAGGAGCAGTTCCTAAAAACCAAGGAACATGTTAGAAAGCAGACCTGTTTCTAGGCAGTGGCATTGCCACACACAAATTTTTCCAAGTAACTTGAAAGCACAGTAACTTTTCTGTATATTCCTAGTGGAATATCCTTTCAAAACAAAAAGTTGCCCCCCAAAAAACACAAACTATTGTCAGTAATCATTTTGTTAATTCTAGTGTTAGTATTGTCATTTGATTGACTTGGTGATAAAGCAAATGAGTAACTGCGTCAGTATTTTGAGAACTGAAAAGAAACATACAAAACAGAGGAGAGTAATTGAAATCCTGTAAGTCCTAATTTAATTCTGAATGTAAACTCAAGATATATCTTTTCTTTTTACAAAAATACCTGTTTCCTAGCCTTATACACCGATGACTGACCCCTAGTGTGCAGTCTCTAAGCAGACCTTCTGATTCTCAGTCTGGCTCAGGAGACGGCCAGGAAGAGCCTGGTCCTCAGGTCGTGCCAGGAAGCAAGGGGGCTGCCGCGCTGGGGTTTTGACTGCAGTATCCCAGAGCCCCTCGAATAGGCTCTTGCTGGACAGAGACAGGATAATTTGAGTGCCACTGAGGACAAAAAGATTAAAAACTTTAAATATGTTTAAATCTATCAGTCACAGGACTGCATGAAAACATACAAACTAAAAGCTTTAGGGACTATCGGGGGGGAAAGTTATTATTATTAAAACTGGTGACTAAAAGGAAATAAGCAGATGCTTTATTCTGTCTTGCATGTATAAGCGTATCTCAGAGTAGCCAAGTAGCTGCTGAGGGGAAATTTCTCTTTATGGAGGTACGTATTTTTGTGGATAAATGAAGACGGAGTGCTACCAGCATCCCGCCGAAAGTACACAGCCCACCGCTGCAAGAGTCTTGCATACAAAAAAACAAGACCCTGAATCTGATCACGCCTCGAGTTCTAACTGCTAATTTACAGGAAAGAGAAGAGACAAAAGAATATCTTAAATTACACCATGGGGATTCCTTCAGTGAAAAACAGATTGTGGGAAACTGCAGAACAGTGACTCACTTTTTTCCCAGCAAATCACATGGGAAAAAATGGAGGAGAAATCTATAGATTAAAAAAGATTCAAGAAAGATATCGACCAACTGCAATGTGTGAGTCTTATTTGGATTTTGGTCTAAATGATCTAGGGGATAAAATACAAAGGAGCATTTGAGGACATTTGAGGGAATGCGAACACTTCCTTGATGTTTAGTATTAAAGAATTATTATTGAGTTGGGAGGGAAAGGAGGTGTGTTCGTCTTCTGCCTTTATAAGGAGGAGTCTGTCATTTAAAGACAGATGTTGAAATGTTCCCAGTGGAGACGGTACGCTGTCTAGGACTTGCTTGCAGAGCGTCTAGGGTTGTGGGTAGGGGGCTGTGTGGAGTGTTACAGGGGAACAGAATCAGCCATGAGTTGAAGCTTGGTGAGTGCGTGAGGATTTGTTGTTTTATTCTCTCTCAACTTCTGTGTAAGGTTTAAATTTTTTATTATGAAAAATTAGAGTAAAAATCAGACCGCAGCTGCTCCATAAGAATGGTTTAAAAAAAAAACCCCAGGAACTAACAGTTTCCTTATAGTCAGGTTTACCACCCTTCTTTTTTTAATAAACTTTTTGTCTTGTATTATTTGAAGATTCGTGGTAAGTTACTAACATAGTGCAGAGTTCCTGTAACCCCTCGCCCAGCTTCTCCCATTGTGCACGTCTTAGATTTCCGTGCTACATTGGTGAAAACTAAGACACTGACATCGCTGCGTTACTGCTAATGAAACACCAGACTATTTGGACTTCACCAGTTTTTTCCATTACGGTCCTCATTCTTTTCCGGGATCTAATCCAGGGCACCACACTGCGTTTAATTGTCAAGTCCCTCTAGTCTTCTCTGGTCTGTGACAGTTTCTCATTCCTTCCTTGTTTTTCATGGTCTTGACAGTCTTGAGTACTGGCCAGAACCCCCCAATCTGGGTTTGTCTTTTGTTAAAATCAAACTGAGGTTATGAGTTTGGGGAAGAGTACCGGAGAGTTAAAGTGTCCTTGTCACAGCACATCGAGAAGTGCATGCTGTCACCATGACATCACTGGTGATGTCACCTTGATTGCCTCTACGGTTAACTTAATATTTTTCTCATTCCATCCACTGTTCTTTGGAAGCAGGTCACTAAGTCTAGCCCACCCTCAAGCGGGAGGGTGGTTTAAGCTCAGCTTTCTGAAGGGGGATGGACTCGGGGTCCCCAAGGCCACACCAAGTTCACTGATTCACTAACAGGACTGAGCGTTATGGTTGTACTGGTAGCTAAGCTTTATCATGACAAACCATACAGAGCAAAATCAGCAAAGGAAACAGGTGCATGGGGGGGAGTCTGGAGGAAACCAGGCAGAAAGTTGCAGGAGTCTCCCTCACCCAGAGGAGAGCATCACACCGGTGCTCTTCACCCCCAGCAGTGAGTTGTGACCACACGTGTGAAGTGTGGTCTCCTAGGGAAGCCCACCTGAGCCTGGGAGTCCAGAGTTCTTACTGGGGACTGGACACGCAGCAGCGTCTGCCTAGCATGTATCAAAATTCCAGACTCCCGGAAGGGAAGAGGTGACTTTTCATTGGCGGGAAGTTTTACACTGTTTGCTGGTCAAGTTGTTGGCCCCCAGCCCAAGGCCAACCTTACAAGCAGGCCTGCAGTGTTAACTCTTTTCTGCACAGGGAAGTGTCCACATACTATTACTTTTACCATCCATTTTTATTAGAGAAAAGTAGAATCAGATTTTTTAAAAAACAACATAAAAGAGATGCTATATGATGGTAAGAACAACAAAACAGAATTTAAAATCAAATCATTTCTTAATTTGCTGTACAGAATGAAATGCATGGAATCCATCTCTTGTCTTGTTCTTTTAGTATTTCTCATGCCCATTTTTAAACACTAGTATAAAAAAATTACTCACATTGCAACTTCTGAAGCATTTCATAATTTAAAAAATACCTCCAGGTTGTGACCTCATTTATTGCCAAATAATTAGAAGACGGCTGTGTAAATTTCAGTAATGAGTAATAGCATAACAGCCAAAACCTGCACAGACGTCCCAGCGAGTCATTACTAAGATTTAAGATGCAATATGTACTAAAAACTGAAACTTTCTCTTAATAGGAAAAACGTGGTCTTCGAGAAATGCGCGTTCTTGAAAATCTGAAGAACATGATCCACGAAACCAATGAGCACACACTTCCCACGTGTGGGGAGACCATGCGGGAGAGCCTGGACCAGGTTCTCCAGAGACGTAAGCCGCGGCTTCCTCATGCTGCTCTGTTCCAGATGCGTGCTCTGCCAAAATGGTTTTCCCTGAGTGTTTTGGTGGGCGGTGGAGAGAGAATTCTTAAGCGGGACACGTGAGAGGGAGTCACAGAGGAAGGGGTTATCTTGTGATGAATGTGTGTTACCCTTGTGGGGAGAGTATAGCTCAGTGGTAGAGCGTGTGCTCAGCGTGCCAGAGGTCCTGGGTTCAGTCCCCAGTACCTCCATTAAATAAATAAACCTAATTACCGCCCCCCCCAAAACCCAAAAAAACAAATAAATAAAAACAAAAATATATTTTTAAAAATGCGTGTTGCCCTTGATATTAAGAGAGTTCATCTCCAGAGCAAGATGGATCTCTCTGGATGTAAGAAAATCAAAAGGTGCTTTACCTTAAAAAAAAATTCATCCGTAAGGAAGTTTGGTGACCAGGAATTAGGATCTGAAATGAAGCTTCCTTTTCAAACAGGATACTAGAGTTTTTAACTTTAAAAAAAATCCTATCACAAGTGTTTGTATTTTATCACTTTTTCTCATTAAGTAGAACATTTTAATGTGGAGAGATGTTTGATAAAAAGAGTACTTATTAAGCATGTCAGATTATAAAATAAAAGGAGTTTTATCAGTAACTGATTTTAAAATTAGAGGTATATCAGAAATGCAGGACTTCTCCTTGGGTCTACGTTGACCCTGTTAAGTTTGTCCAAGGATGGGTGATACTGTTAGATAATGATGGAGTGCAGCATGAAACAGTAGCTTTTTAGGGAAAAAAGAGAAAGCACAACTGGCCGGTGATGTGACGGCCTGCAGGGGAAGGTGGCGGGAGGCCTGGTCAGTGGCCGAGCTGAATAAGGGCATGTACAGCCCAGGCTAGCCGGTGCCCTGTGAGGCCCACAGGAGTGGCGACAGACCTCCCACAGTCACATTCAGTTCCTTTGCAAGGAAAAGCCAGAAGTGTAAAATTGACTAGACTTTTTTACACACTATTTTTTTGGTTTTTTGGGGGGAGGGGTGGGTAATTAGGTTTATTTATTTATTTGTTTTAAGCACGCACTCCACCACCGGGCTGTACCCTCCCTGGCCCTTGGCAAGCCTTCTAGACACAACACTAAAAGTAAAACTCAAATTATTATTAATAAGAATGCTTATTTTGCTTTTGAGATGTGCTTATAACTTCCCTTTCCACACTTTGAGTATATAAAAAAGTAAATTGGGTAAAACTTAGTTAAAGAAAAAACTATGATTTCTTCTCTCTTTCCTTCCTGTTCTCCATTTAAACATCTGAATGATCCTTTTAAAATGTAGCTTGGCTCTTGTTATCACTGTCTCATAATCTTCTCATCTCAGTGTAAAAGCCAAAGTCCTGGAAGTTTCTACATGGTGGCCCCACCCTGATTTCTGTTTCCTACCACTTCCTTTTCCCTCACTTCGTTCCTACACTGGCCTCCTTAATGTTCCTCTCATGTGCCAAGCATGCTCCTGCCTCAGGGCCTTTGCACTTGCTGCTCCCTCTGGAATACTCTTGTCTCGGATTCCTGTACATTCTCATTCCCTATAGGTCTCTGCTCAGATGTCAGCGGTGAGACCTCCTTGGCCACTCTGTGACATTCATCCCTCCTCACTCTGGCTTTCTCTGGCCTCCCTTCGTTGCTTTGTGTTGTCCAGAGCATCCCTCACCTCCTGACATGCTAAATATTTCTCTCGATGTTGTCTGTATCTTGAGCGGATATACACGATCCATGAGCTCGGGGACTCTCTTTGCAGTATCCCCGGCATCTAGAACAGTGCCTGGCACACTGCAGCCCTAAGTAACTATTTGTCCACTGAAATGAATGAATGAGAACTCAACCAACATCTGTTCCTAATACCAAACTGAGATCACTTTCTTATGTATGTGTTTGAGCTTCACATATATACACTGTGACAGAATGAATTTGCTTCTCTTCTACGTGAGGACCTGGGGACACTGTTGACTGTTGTACATGGCACAGTTACTCTTTGTGGTGCTAATCTCCTCAAATAATCTTTCGGTTTAGAGAAAGTATTTTGATGAATTCTTAACTTTCTGAAGTCAGTGTAGTCTCCTGAAACCCTGGGACGACAGGGGAGACGCTTTCCCACTGAGTTAGGTGTGACCAGTACGTGACGTAGAAGTCACAGGAGGGTTTGGTGAATGGGCCTTGGCCTCTTGGGGTCTCTGATTGTGAAGAAAGGGAAAGAAAGGTGTAGCCAGGTGTTTTCCTAGATTTTAGAGAAAGCAGATTTCATTAAATTCAGAAAGCAAACCTTCTATCGTGTGGCTGAAGAATTAAAAAGCACATTACTTCAAAGAGACTGAAATTTCTGCAAGTTGGTATTCTAGGTGCCCAGATAACCCAGGCAAAGAACAGAAGTGTGCCTCTGTCAGTCAGACATGCTCTGATTCGAACTTTAAAGGGTATAACAGATGACAAAATAAATGTCATAGTCCTGTAACTCTTCTTTCAGATTAGGCCCAGAATGATCTGAAAATGATGAAGCACCCAGAGACCACGAAATGGATTTTTTAAAAGTTATGTTCAAAGCCAGGGGAAAAAACCCAAATAACAAAAAAAAAACCAGGAAATGATAGAACCACTGTTCGGGAGAGATGATGTAATGTTAATATGCCACAGAAAGCAGGCAGATCTAATCAACTCCTATTTTGTTTTGTTTTCAACTTTTCTGTTAGAACAAACAGTGATTGGGAACTTTCATTTTTCGTACTGAAGTATTGTGCTTGATATGTTTAAAATGAATGGTTACTGATAAAAGCATAACTTTTAGAAGCTAAGTCCTCCTCTTTGCTGTATTCTCACAGGGAAGGGCCCAACATTTTTCTGAAAGAGGAATCGCAGTCCTGGCCCCGTAGGAACTGTGAACTAACTGGGGCCGGGCGGGGTGGGGCAGAAAGGCCTAACTGGAACAGCTGGGTGAACCTGGGTTTAAGCAAACACCAGACAAAAGAATTTCAAGTAAGAGAAAATCCTCCCAGGAGAAGGGTTGATCTGGGAGGGCTTTCTGAAAGCAGCCAGCCTTGAACTGGGCTTTTAAAGCACGTGAACATTTTAATTAGAGGAGAGGAGTAAGGAAGGGGCTTCCGCTCGGGCTAGGACGGTGCGTGGAATGTAGTAACAGTAGCGTTTGACTGCCTGCTGCGTGTGAAGAACTGCTCTACGTGGCTTTTATTATTAACCTTGAAGTTATTTTTAAGCAGAATATCTACTGCGTTACCTCATTTATTTCTCATGTCAGTTCTGAAGTCCTCTTGTTTGCTGTCCTGTTCATCTTACGAGTGAGGAGCCGAGCCTGAGAGCTTGGGGGAGTGCTGGTCAGCCCTAGCCCCGGGCACGCGGCAGGTGCCCAAGAAGGGCCGGACACACGGCTGCGTGACGGGCAAGCGGACAGGCCCGAGGGCGTCATGCAAGCAGTCCGTGCCCGGCTGCGGTTCGACGGACTAAGGGAGCCTCTTAGCCGCCCGCTACCCAGAGTGACAGTGGAAACATTCATGTACAGAAATAAAACGGGGCCAGGAAAGGAAGAGGTTTGAACACCTGGTGGATTAAAGCCAGTTTGATTGGTGAAATCGTAGGAGTAGAGCGTTGAAGGTGAGAGCCGAGTCTTCAGCGTCGGAGATCCGATGTTAAGCCCTGCTCTCCGTACCTGCAAGTAATGGTACCTCCCTGAGTGACATTTCACTCCTTTATGCCGCAGCTTTTTACAGACGCCAAAAATCTGCATAGTGAGACAGTGATCCTCACCCCACAGGAAAGTGGGGTTCGGAGCACTGATACGTGGAAAGTACTTAGCGCAGGTCTTGGCGCATAGTAATACTCCGTAAATAACTACAGTAATTACTACTAGCAGCTTTGATTCATTAAGAAGGAAAGTGACTCCGTGAAAACAGTGCAGGAAGATGTGACTCTGGCAGTGTCGGCCAGGATGAGCTAGAAGAGGGAGAGGAGGAGTGCAAAGTGCTTGGAGCCGTGCAGGTACCACGCGCTGCCACAGGAGAGCTGCCGCAGGAGAGCGGGAGTGTGGACCCAGGAGGGAGGACGGCGAGCTGATGAGCCAGAGAGACACGGTGAAGGCCTCAGCCATCAGAAGGCACTGATAAATTTGTCAGGTGTTTTATGTCTTTTCAGAGAATTCTGAGGTCATTTTTGACAACTTGTCATTGGAATTAGTACTAGATAAATGCCCTTGGCTAACAGCTCAGAGTCCCCACATGATAGCGGTTCTAGTTATGACATCCTGAATATATTGGCAACACTTTTTTTTCCTTTTAGCCACCCCACCATGACCAAAATAGCAGCTTTTTTGCATAGTTTCTTGAGCACTAACACAATCCAGATGCTTTTGATTTTGTTTTTTTTTTTTTAACCCAGGGAAGTCTTCCCTTGAGCAAGGGCTGCTGATTGAAAACCCACTGTCTGCTTTCTTTCAGTGCAAGCAGCTACTGACTCAGTCTGCAGACTCCAACAGAGGGAACAGGAGCGAAAAAAGGTAAACGTGGATCATTTGGGTGACCAGGCTTTTTATTGTCATCATATTATTAACAGTTGCTTTTGATTAAAAAAATACATATATGGATTTGTTTTCTTTATGCAGTGATTTTTAACACTTAAGAAATGGCTAATTGATTGAAGACGTGTTGCGGAGGTGTGGTCACATGACTGCACCATCTATATTTTTATAATTCAAATTGCAGATCTTTTTTTCCTTCTCAGCATTTCCATCTTTTCCCTGAAAGTGGTGTTTGTCTTTTGGAGGAGAGAGAATAGGACTTTTACATGGAACAAAAACTACCCACCAGATTGGAAGTATAAATCTTTCCTTTGAGCCTGAAGCATTGAGTGTATTATGTGTATTTCTTGTAGAAAAGGAAGCATTCATGCCTGTAGATGGGTTATTTAATGAACAGCCACAAGAGTGTATGAATTACTTGCTGGATAGTGCTTTGCTTATTTGAATTATATCTTAACTAAATTCAGATGTGGAAAAACAGCACAAGAATTTAAGTTCCTGTGATAATTTGGTGTTTTAAC